ATTATAGAAAAAGTAATTAGTAAACAAATATACAGGGTGTCAATTTGAAAACTTTCAGTGCGAATATCTCGCAAAATAAAAAAGTTGGAAAAACGCCGTTTGACAGAAATGTTATAGAGTTAGGGAGAACTAGACCCACCATTTTTAAGTGAGCGGATGAGTCACCCCTTAGACGCGACACACCCCAACTTTAAAATGTCAAATGGCACTACCCCTTCTGTAATACCTCAAATGAAAGGTCTCATTTAGTAGTACTCACCAGTACAAGATTTTTTTCCATTCAAACAAAAACAAAAAATTCGAATAAAAAATTTAATGATATTTTATTTGATTAGATGTTCAAAATGAATTCCATTTTGTGCTAAACAATAGTATAATCGATTTTCAAATTCTGTTCTAACATTGTGGAACACTTCTCTTGGAATATTGCTGCATTCCGTAATAATTCGTTGCCGAAGATCTTCTATTGAATCCGGTTTTGTTTTAAATACGATGGATTTCAAATGTCCCCAGAGAAAAAAGTCAAGAGGTCTTAGATCGGGAGATCTCGCGGGCCATTAGAAATGGACCTCTCCGTCCAATCCATTGACCTGGAAAAGCGTCATTCAAAAATTGCCTGACTGGAAGAACGTAGTGGGGTGGTGCTCCGTCTTGCTGAAAATGTATTAAATTTTCATTCAGATTCCTGTTCCCGTCAATGTCCAGCTGATTTTCAATTTCTTCAACAATGAGAGGTTGAATGGTGGTGTCTAACATTTCCAAGTAAGTATCGCCATTAAGATTGCCATTAATAAATAATGGCCCAATCACAGTGTCGCCTAAAATTCCCGCCCAGACATTTATTTTTTCTGGATACTGCGTGTGCCCTTCCCTGAAGAAATGCGGATTTTCGTCACTACAATACCTGCAGTTGTGTTTGTTCACTGAACCGTTTAAATGAAATGTGCATTCGTTGCTAAAACAAATATTTGTTAGCAACTGGGGAGTAACACGTAATATTTCGGTCATGTCCTCGCAAAACTGCATTCTTCGATCGGGGTCATCCTCCTGCGACTTCTGAAGAATTTGCATTTTGTTCGGGTAAAACTTATGAAAGTTGAGTACCCGACGAACAGCTTCATGAGAAATTCCCGTTATCGCCGAAGCTTGGCGTAGAGACATTGTAGGATTCATAGCAAAATGTCCTAAAACTTCCACTTGTGCTGCTTCATTAAGTACGCTTTGATGGACCCTTTTTTGTTTGCCACTGATCCTGTTTCTTCAAATTTAATAATCGGTTGTCTGATGTACTTACATTTTTTCCGGGGTTTATTTTGTTAAATTCTGCAGCAGTTCTGAAAGCACAACGATTTTATGAACCATAAATAAACACCATCTGAATTCTTTCAGCCAAACTGTAGACCATGATGAACAGAAAATAAAAATTATACTCGGATTTCTTCAATTAGACAGTTCTGACTTTGCAGTACAACCTTGCACAAACGACTAAATTTTATACAAACATTGATTGGTAGATACGTACCCGATAAATTCAATGCTACTTTTTATTTTCAGATGCTCCAAAATTTTAGAATGGAATTTGAAGTTTTTTTTGTTTACACAAAAATGGAATGCATGTTGACCATCTAATGAAATAAAATATCATCTTAATAACAATAACGGAACGAAATAATTGGAATGCATTTTAAATTATCTGATCAAATAAAGTACCATTTTAAGAAAATACAGTTTATTTTATTCGAATTCATGTTTTTGTTACAAAAAAATTCTTGTACAGGTGAATACTACTAAATGAGATCTTTCATTTGAGGTATAACAAAAGAGGTAGTGCCATTTGACATTTTAAAGTTGGGGTGTGTCGCGCCTAGGGGGGACTCACCCCTTCACTGAAATATGGTAGTTCTAGTTCCCCTTACTCTATAACATTTGTGCCAAACGGCGTTTCTCCAACTTCTTTATTTTGCGAGATATTGGCATTGAAAGTTTTCAAATTGACACCCTGTATACATACGTATTTTCTCATAATATTCTAACCACTAAACAATCAGGTTTTCGAAAGGGGTTCAGTACTACAACATTACTCTTAGATTTAACAGATAACATTATAAAATCAATGGATGAAGGAAAAGCTGCAGCAGTTACTTTGCTTGACTTTTCTAAAGCGTTTGACACTATAGATCATCAGCTTCTTTGTGCCAAACTCAAATATTTTGATTTCGATAAAACCTTACTAAGATTTTTCAAATTTTATTTAAGTAACCGCTACCAAAAAGTAACGTTAGAGAAATCATCTAACTTTATGTGTGTAACAGCAGGAGTACCCCAAGGCTTTGTCCTTGGTCCCCGTTTGTTTTCCACACTATCCAAATTTTGATAGTGTGGATAGCAAGTTGGTGGTTCGAGCCCCGAAACTTTTAGTTTTTTTTTTTGTTTTTTTTTTTCCTAAAAAAAAGGGAAAATATTATTGTTTTATTATTTCACAGTCTTGGTAATTTAAAATGTTCAGTTTCTAAAAAGTATATACTTATTCAATGCATAGTGGCGCATAACGAGGTTCATTCATTTTTATGTTGTCCGTCAATTAAACCCCGGAAAAAGTGTCTGCCTTTTTGGAATTATTTTTTTTTATATTTAATTAAGACGCTATTAAAATTTCAGCTTTGGGGTTGATTTATCAATTATAAACCCTCTCAAAAGTGCCTAAATTACTAGTATTTTTAGAATTACCTAAACTTTCAATTGTTTGTTGGCCTCTGAATCAAACACTTTTTTTGGGTCATATTTTACGACCCCTTTCTATTATGCGCAGTACCTGGTGTCCCGGGGTGGGTCTAGCCTACATAGGTATATCTGCTTTTCCATCCAAATGATTTCAAATTACAAAATTTCAAAGTGCATCAAACACTTAATGAAATGTGTGTTACTAGCTCTCCGGCTACAACTGTAAACTAATTTTCCAACATCCTTATTTTTATTTAATACCTGCAGGAATCCAAATTACTAATACACCAGATATTTTTGAGAATACTAAATTATACAAAAAAGGTAATAAAAAAATGTCATTAGAATAAAAGGTTTCAGGTTTGTACGCAACAAACAATCTACGCTAGAGGGTAACATGATTGACAATTAAAGGCAGACCTAACTTTATATAAACTATTTAAATGTATATACCATTTCTTAGGTAATGCAATGCAAGTTTCTCATTATGAGTATTTTCCAATTGACATTGGTAAAGTGAAAAACCATTTGTCTCTTTAACTTTTCTTCTATATCAAACGTTTATTGTACGTTTCCATATTAATTTATCCATTTTTTCCTTTCAGATGCATTTGTGGGAAACACAAAAAAATTAACAAATTTTTTTCTTACTCCATATTTGCAGTTGGTTACAAAATACATGACCATTTTGAAGTAGTCTTAGAATGGTCTTAAACACTGAAACAAATTATAAAACATAAAGTAGAGTCGTAAAACTAAATTATAGGTAAACAAAACAACATAACCTTAAAAATACTTTTATTTACTTTGCCTTAAACATGTTTTTCGGGAATAATCGTTGAATTGACACACATACTTCCAATTTATTAAAGTCGCAGTTCTTAATTAAAAACTTTTTTTTTAATGAGCACAATTAAAATAATCTTATCAGGTTTTATTTTTTATTTAGATTATTCTTAGAGGAGTAATAGTTCGTTTGGTTTGGAATAGTGTTGCCGGAATATGTTTTTGTTATGTACCAGATTTGTCTAAAAAATGTACCAGATTCCTTAAATGTACCAGATTTTTCGAATTCTATTTGCAGTGACTTTAGCTCACGTCGAAATATTTTAAATGTTTAAATTTGCATTCTTTAAATAAAAAATAAATGTAGATACGCAATTAATTCGTAATTAATATACATTTTTTTTAAATTTACCTGACCTATAAGTGTATCGTAAATTTCCCATACTCTTTTTTGCATAATCAATCCACAATGATTTCATTTTTATTTACTAATTATTTTAATAGTATATTATGCAACGATCATGTAATGATGGTTATTAATACACGAGCATTAACCGGGATACGAAACGAGCCAAAGGCGAGTTTCGTATGGTTTATGCGAGTGTATTAATAACCATTACATGAGAGTTGCATACGCTATTTTTTCTACACCCGATAAATAATCAAGAACTATAAATATTATATTCATATTGGTATTGAACACAATAACAATAATTACTCGTGTATTTCTATAAAAAATTCTACAAAATTGTAATTAATGGTATTACTTCGGGTATTGGTATTTCCCTAGATTTTTGCGGCAAAATATTTTGTACTGTATTTTCTGCTTTCTCCGATATGTGTGGAGGAGTCTTCTATATCGCTGATATCAGACATTTTAATATTATAATTAACGAAGTTTAGTTATCTACCAAAATTTAATACGTTTTGACAACTAAAACAAATACATAGGAACCTAGGACAAACTTCAAACAGCATGCTTGATTGAAAAATTGTAGGTTTCTATTGATTAAAAATCTGTATCGTAATGAAAAATCTGTATCGTAATGAAAAATCTGTATCGTAATGAAAAATCTGTATCGTAATGAAAAATCTGTATCATAATGGGTATCATTATGAAACGGATTATGGGCATATAAGTGCATTATTATAATACGGGTGTAGAAAAAATACATTTCATTGGCCGCATTCAGCAGAAGCAACCGATTATCAAACGATAACTTAGCGATGACTTATCGATTAGTGAATCTCGTGAATGAACTTTTTAGGCACTTCGACAGGCGACACAAAAGTCACATGTACTTCAGAAAAAGTCATCATCTAAAACATAGGTACAAAATTTAGAATAAAACACCAAATAAATTACTCAACTACATAATTATAAATGCCTGATTTAAATGCATTGTGCAACACTTCATTACCAACTACAATATATTTCATATTGTTATAAACATATATCACTTCAAAGTCCTTCATTTCAGTGAAAAATGACAAATTCAGTGTAAAACTGAATTCAAAATAAACATAAAATAAGGTTATGAGTTATGAGCACCACCACAAAACATTCACTTAAGTTGGTATGAGTTCTAAATCTAATCACGATGTGATAACTAATCGTATTTCAAATTCGATGTTTTAAATGGCTGCCGATAACTCATCATTTGATTACTAATCGCTCTTTTATATATCATTCAGCAGAAAATCATAAATCGATTGCTTCTGCTGAATGCGGCCATTGTATTTATATATGTATTATTCAAATCGCGCGGGGATATTACAGAAGAATTTACTCTATTGGTCCCGATTTTCTAAATGCGCCATAATACACCTTGTTATGTACATCATGACTTACAAGAAAAAAAGAAATTTGAAAAACGCTACTAGGTAATATGACGACGTTATGTGATATTTATGATCCGTCAGTGTTTTCTGTCATATGAATTTTTGTTTCCAAATCATTTTTGAATAATGCATAAATTTACTATTAGAAATGACTCGAACTTCTAACGAGAACCGTCCTAATGCGAACAACAATGAAAATCACGATACTCAAAAAAATAAATCCAATAATCAGCCCCCTAAATACAAACCAGGTAGGGTAACTAGAAATCCATTCCTTAATTTTTTGCGTGACGTTAGAAGAAATGCATACGGCCTTACTCTTTATGAAATAGCAACGAAAGGTGCAGATATGTGGAGAAAAATGGACGCTAAAGACAAGCAACCTTACTGTGAACAAGCTAAAATGGCACCCTATAGAAGAAGAAGAATGCGAAAAAGGAGAGCATACAGATCTTACAGTAGATCTACTAGTCGTGCTAGAAAGAAAACTAAAAGGAGTCGATCGCGATATTAATTTGATTGTCTTGATTTTATTTTTTACGTGAGTAAAGTAAATCATTTTAATAAATTAGTTTTCTTACTGATTTCTATTACAAATTACAAATTCGAAATTGATTTTTCATATTTATACATTAGCAGTATAAAACCACGATACAAAACGTCAAAGTCACAAAATAAAAAGATTATAATCAGAGATAAGGGAAATAAGGATAGGAAACGCTCATAAGCCAATGCTTAACAACGACCAGCTTTAACGCAGTTAACATCTGACCCACTATGTGGCGCTTTCATCGATATCAAACGACGCAGTGGGAAATTTAAAAACCTGATAAAGGTTGTATAAATATCGACTGCACACTCATGTTCTTGTAAATAAATGTAAACACTGTAATTACGCTAAATTTTTTATTAAAAAAATACACTTATCGATTAATTATTGTAAATCTATTCATGACAAATATTTTTTTTATTTTTGATCCTTACTTGTAACATTACATTTTTGTTGTTATTTTCCAAACGAATGACCAACGGCGTCTTATTAAAAAATGTTAAATCCATAATGGGAATTCAGATATTTTTCTTCCTATAGGGACCGTGCGTGAAATATAGAGGCAGCACTACTGCCGAACTTAGCCCTCTCTAGTGTTTAATTTTAGAATTAAATGGGGTAAACATTGCAAGTAAATAATAAAGGGTATTTTTTTAAATATTAAATATAGTTAAAAATAGATACCGGCCCGTACCAAACAATCGTGTACATGGTCAAAATGACGTTAAATGTTAAAACATTATTAAAATCTGGACATGCATATACATTTTAAGCAAAAAGATTTAAATGGCTAAGTGACAATGGAGTCTATTCTGTAACAATTCCTTTATATTTAACGGCCTTTAAAAATATTTTCTTCTTTACTTCGATCATTATTTAAACGGATTTTTAAAATACATTAGAGGACTATCTTAAAGAAATCTATTTAAATAATGACAGAAGTAAATTAACGAATACGAACATATTTTTAAAGGCCGCCAATATTTTTAAAGGCCGTTAAATATAAAGGAATTGTTACAGAATAGACCCCAATAAATTGTAAAGTTGTACCTTAAACAAGTGTATCCAATGTTAAAATATCGGTATTTAGTAACACTGAATTTAAAAGTATTACAATAACATTTAAAAAATGTAAATTAATAAAAAAGATTGATAATAATAATTATAAATCTTTTTAGCTTTATGTTAATCGAAATGTCATTCATCCACTGACGTTTATGAGATAATTGCTCACCCATCTATAAAAAAAATATGAAAAGCGGGTTGCAATGTGCCTTTCCTACCCAGACAGCACACCAAATCCTTTGGATATCTACTGAACATCCCAATATCCACTGAATGTCCAGTCCATGGTGGATATCTATTTTATATCCATGAAATGTAATTTATAGACATGCAAATGTCCATAAATAATAGTAATTATATAGCAAATTATTAAAAAATTACGCCATTGTGCTCGCCATTGTGGCTAATAGTACCGTTCAGATATTTAAAATTAATTTTTTTAAGGTGTATTCAATATCCCATGGACATCCACTAAATATATCAAAGTCTAAGCGCGGACGCAAACCATCGAGGATATCCACTAGATGTAATTTTTGATTTTGCTTCCTAAGTATAGATGGCGATACCACTTTCGTATCTACTCATGCTCAACCCGCCGTAATTGAGTTCGATCGAAATTTTTTTGACAAACAGACTCCATTAGAGGCTGGAGTCGAGAATTTCCATTTATTGCTGAAGATTCCTAATAAGGATGACTTTTTCCTTAGTGGGCAAAATCAAAGGCAGATTGTTGGAAATATTTTTTATCTCTATTTTCTTTCGACGTTGTTCAATAATCATTGATTACTTATGAACCTTTACTAAAGATACATATAAAGTATTTTGCTGAATATCTGAATTCTATAACCTGGGATAAAGACGGACATTTGGTTGGATATCCACAAAATATATTCTGTGGATATCTCTGGGATTTCTTGTATTGTCTGGAAGATACTCATTAGATATTTTGCTGATTATATCCATGGATATCTTCTATATTCTGGATATAGACGGACATTTGGATATCCATATTAGATCCACGGAATATTTCTGATATCCTGTGGATATATTGGATATCCACAAAAGATATTCTGTGGATATCTCTGGGATTTGGTGTGTTGTCTGGGTAGTGCTCACTAAATAGAGCCGTTCTAGCCCAAATGTGTTTTAAAATAAAATTTCAGAATTTTAATCTTTAGAAAAAGAAAATAATTAAAGTTTTACTTCAAGACATGTCATTATGTATTTGGAAAGTTTTCATGTAGTTAAATAATATTAAGAAATCTAAACAATTTTTATAACAGATGGATATAAATAATTTTAGACCACTATTTCAGAAACAATTCTACATAAAATACATAATTGTAATATGTAATTCAATTTTGAAAAGGTAATGTAAACAATTTTGATATGAGGTATAAACAACTTTGGTAAGAGTTGTAATTGGACACTTATCTATTATTCTGAATAATGTTTAATGGTAATGTCACTAATCTCTTTTGACAGTAATTGCAATGTATTATTTATGATTTGTTTATTTTAATAATAAATAGAAATAGTTAATAAATTGTAAAGAGGGCCGTGATATTTTTGTCAAATTAGACATTCTTATTTCATAACATTCTACATTAGTTTTAATCAACAGAATAAACCATTATCTGTAAAATTATATTTATATAAAATGTTCATTTAAATATGTAAAAATCTTAATGACAAGAAAACACTAAAGATTATAATTTCTAAACCGGTTCTGTAAATGATTTCTTTACAACTATGTGCTCAAAATTGATACAAGCTAGATAAAAAGAAAACTTTGCCCAGTGAAATACGCTTTTCGTCGTCTGATTTACATATGGATAAGCAATCTTTGTAATTATGTATATCATTGGGTGTGAGGCATAATTGTGCTCTGTGGAAATTTATAAAATTTCTTTACTATCGAATGAAATCCAGGTTTCCAAAGTGATGTGTTTGTACATCCACGGATGCAGCAAGTTTTTTCGATATTGATATTACGAAAATAATTCGACTTCATTTTATTAATAATTATTAAACAATAAATGCCGTATAAAACATTAATAAATACCCCCCATAAAGTTCACATTTTTGTCACCAGTTAGCGTTAAAGTCATGACGCACGGTCCCTATATCAAATCTTTCTAACGTTTTGAAGGCGTTTTCTTGTTCTAAAACAAATAATAAATAAATACCTACTTTGTGACAAAAGTTAGTTACTATTTGTGTTACTTACATGACTAGATCTTACTTTGGTTAATTAAATAACGCCACATTAGGGTTGTTAAATCTATTCATGTGGCATGTGTTACTAATGCAATACGTTCTCCGACTTATTGTAATAGTACAAAATATAATTATTTTCCCCAAATTTCATACAAAAACAGCCACAACCGTTTCGCTTGGTACTTTCTCAACTCGTGCGTTAGCGTAATATAAAACTACCTCAATTCTTCGCAACTCGGGCGCCCTCCAAAATTGTGTACACCTGTGAGTTCGCAACTCGGGCGTCGACGGGATATGAAATTTGACCATAGTTTATGTTCTCTGATTCTGATTACAGTCTGATTTAGGTAGTAATGAATTATCGAAAATTTAAGAGAAGTGAATAACATCACAGAACAAGCTTTGTTTTTAACAGATAGTGAGCACTGAAAAGTTAGTTGATGTAAAAAAATTGAAGATTTTTCCATTACGGTTTATTTTAGAGAAATCATATGTAGAATAAAAATTATAGAGCATAATATCGGGATCATTTTCAAAATATTCGCGATTTCTAAAATATTTCCGGAAATAATTTGGTCCCTAGTGGTATTATAAGTGAAAATTATGAGAAAAATTCGAATTTTGCACTTTACCTCAAATTTCCCAAAATCGGTCCATGTTAGAAAAATGTATGAAACAAAAATTATAGAGAATTACATTGTAAGCAACTTTTATTTGAAGAATTTTCTTTAAAATTCGAATTTTGCACTTTTTATCAAATTTCTCGAATACGGACCATTTTAAGAAAATCATGAACATGATAAAATTTTTAGAGAATAATATCACAAGCAACTTTTATTTGAACAATCTCCTTTTCCAAGCGTAAATTACAGATACATTTTTTAAAATAGAAAAATAACCCTCTATAAACCCACACAGCACAAAACCACAGTAAATATTTCAAGAATGTAACACTGAAATATTTGTAATATATAAATATTACGAAACGTAATATTTTATATATTTCATAAATAATAACTTGAAACCTATCAAAAATATAATATACTGATATTTCAGAAATGTATCCAACATCAGACGCAAACTTCCAATTATTTAGAATATATGGTTGTCTCTGGATATAGGCTGAAATAAAATTATATTACTTAAAATAAAATGACTGCAACATAACCCATCTTCTTCCTCTTCTTACAAATGAGAAATTTTTCAAGTCTTGGCCATTTACAACATAACCAACATAAACCAACTTACTATTCTACGTAAGTTGGCTACATATGGAAAACTTTTTTATTATTAGTTTTATCAAAAAATTATGCATGGTCTAAAACCTAAAATACACCCATCAGATATCAATTTTTATGAGTCGTATACGATATTTGTCAAAAAATGTATTTTTTGGCCAAGAGTAAAGTACATTCATTTTTGACAAACCTTGTATACGACTTATACAATTTGATATCTGATGGTTGTATTTAAGGTTTCAGATCACGCACATTTTTTTCATAAAATTATTAATAAAAAAAGTTTTCCATATACCGCCAACTGTCCTAGTATACGGCTAAAAAATGTGATATCTGATGGTTGTATTTTAGGTTTTAGACCATGCATAACTTTTTATGCTGAATATTTTTTTTTGATAAAACTATTAAAAAACTAGTTTTCCATATGTAGCCAACTTACACAGACACACTGTACATAAAAAATGTATTAAAAT